CTTCCATGAGAACTACATCACATTTAACTTTATCTTGATAGTTCCCAATAGAAAACTCTACTTCCACTTGTTGGTTGACTACCATATCCCCATCATCATTAAGCCAATGAAGTTGATAAGGTTTGGGATGAGATGTAGTAGTGAAGTCCAACTTCTCAACCATCCTAGTGCTACAACAATTGCACCAAGATCCACTATCCACTATGAGAGAACAAGCCTTGTTTGAAATGTTACATCTTGTATGAAAGATATTCTCTTTTTGGGATTGTGTATCACTAGGTTGGTTATTGATATGGGTGGAAAAACGGGCCAGCCCGTCCCGTTTTGGCCCGCCCCGCCAATGGCCCGCCAAAAACGGGTCGGGCCGGGCTGGCCCACCAATGAAAAACGGGCTGAAAATGCTGCCCGCCCCGCCTAAGGATGGGTTGAAAATGAAACCATGGTATGGTTACTTAACCTTAGGCGCCCAAAATTTGAATTCAAAATTCAAATTTTGGGAGCCAAACCCGGAACCTCCCATGTGCTCATCATTTGGAATGTGATTAGCTTTTCATTTGAGTTGCATTTAGGTCACACCATGTGCATGTGTGCACATGGCCGAAATGCATATCAAATGCAAAGCTAATTACATTCTAATGATAATTCACATGCAACCTTAATTAACCCTAAATTCCAATGACCTCTAAATGTAAATCCTAAGCTACATGGCCGGAAATACAAGGCCCAAAAGAAAATACAAGGCACTAAGGCCCAATCCTACACTATCCCTAATCTAATGGGCTTGAGACAAAGCCCAACAAAATAAAGTGATGGGCCTTCCTTGGACTTGGACCCACTCTTCATGCATCCTTCTTGCCATAGCCCTAGTAGTTGGGCCCTTAGCTCATGAGCCTCCTCCATCATTAAATGGGCTTAACCCATATGCTGGACCAAAATAATTAATTAATTGTTTGTTGAACTAATGGGCTTAACCCATATGCAGGCCGAAAATGGAAAGAAAAAAAAGGGAATCAGATGGCACTTGGCCATTTCACTAGAACCCTAAAAATAGAAAAGGGTGAGGGGAGTGGGGGAGGCTCTACTAGGATTTTGCGCTCAGCCTCCCTCCATGGACATTGATGGCGCGGCGGACGCCGCCATGGCGTCGTCGTAGCTAAGGTGGTTGGCGGTCATGCGAAGGGAAGGAGAAGACGGCTAAAGAGAGGAACAGAGGACGGCAGAAGGTTATGACTACCACCGGAAGTCGTTTTCGACGGTGGTGTGCGGTGGTGTTATGACGGTTTGTCTGTGTGGTGACTCCTCGTAAAGGCGCGCAACAAGGGTGAGAGGAAGAAGATAAAGGAGTGCAATCGCCGCCACCGAAAATCGTCTCCGACAGCGGCGCACGGCGGCGTTCACAGGAACCATCATCTAGTCGCGTTTCCTGGTATATTTCACTCACTGTTGTTTTTTTATTTTGTTTTTATTTTTTCATTGCGGCTGGATTTTTACTTGCTGGTTCAAAGGGGAAGGGATTGATTCACAGTAAGATTAAATATTGAGTTGCATACGTATTATTTTCAAAAAAAGAGAAAAAAATGACCCTATACAGAAAAAGATTAGAGAAAATATTGATACCCAAATTTGATTGCACGTTGCTTTTATTCTGCTTCCTTGTTCTACTTGCTTGTTGCTTGAGCTCTCTTACTCTTGATCCTTGGTTCTCTCTATTTTTACAATTTTCTCTGCCCCCTTTTGTTCATGTTCTGTTCTATTATATACAAACTCACTATTGTTTTAAATTGTTCTTTGACAGTTGGTCCAAGCTCATGCTTTTGGAAGCATATATGGCAGAAGTATGCTCTTGGGGACATGTTGGTGGCTAGGGCAGAGGAGCTCAGCAAGCTTGTTGGAAGAGAAATAACCGTACAGAAAAGTGTAGGATGGCAGAAATTTTGGGTGCAAAGGAAAAGATTATTTTGTTATTTTCTTGTCTTTTTCTGATTTTCTTTTATTATTTTTTATTTATTATTTATGCTTATTGTGTGTATTTTTTGAGTTTAAATCTAGTTTGTAAATTATTTGTTCTTGAATCATTAATTTGAAAATTTTGGGAAATAAATTAGTAGAAAAATTAGTGGGATAAAAATTGGTGTTTACAAATACTCTTGCCAAAATGGAAGTTCAATTGAATGAGAGAATCAAAAGATTTGAATCTCCTTCGATGGAGATTATCATTTTTTGTTAGCAGATTGCCAAGGAATAAAGTTCACTAGAGTGTGAGCTTGGTCTTTTTTTGCTTTTGAACTTTCTTGATTTTTTTTTCTTTTTTAAGTCCATGTACCAAAAAAAATTGATTAGGAGTCAAACCCTTTTTGATTTTCAAATATGACTTGGATAAAATTTTCCTTTTGTTTAAGTTTTCCCTTTTTCACAAATAAAATTTTGCTTACTTGCTACAAGATTTATGCGATTTGACAAATGTTACTCTTGGTCAAATTTGGAGATTGTTTAGCCTTTTCATTTCTTACACATGATTTAGTTTATACTGGTAAAAAAAGGATTAAACAAAGATGGCCTACTATGTGATTGTAGTGGTCTAGGTAGTGGAGAACTATAATTGTATTTTTTCTAACACAAGTTTTGAGCAACAAGTTATTATGCAGGATTTAAAGTTCACAGTTTGAACTTGGTTGAAAAACTATCCAAAAGGGTTTACATATTAATTTTTACAATGATATTAAATCTAACATCACTCTGAATCTCAAGATGGGAATTGAAATTAGGTGATATAATATCATTCAATGTGTGAATGTCATTCAACATGATATAATTTCTTTTAAAATGGGAGTTTAATCATACTTAGAGAGATTGACTTGTTGAGAAAGGAATGTTACTCATGAGTTGCTATTCAAATTGTCTTTAGCAGCATATATGCATATCAACACTTATGTCAAATACTCTAAAGGCGAATTCCAAAGGAAAGAAAGGTGGTAAATAAGAGGTTTCTTTTTTGTGCCTATATGTAAAGATGAATTTATGTTAATATGTAATTTGTACTTATTCTAGACAAATTACATCTAACTTGAAGAGGGTGTTAGAAAATTTTCTTTTTCCATCACTTGTAAACACTACTAGAAAAATTAAAATTAGAGAGGGAAAAAATTCGTCACTAAACTTCATAAAATCCGTCACAAATAAGTTGGTACCTCTTATATATATCTTGATTAATACATCTTTCTTTGCTCATAAAAAAAATTCCTTATCTAAGATTAAGTTTCTTAAATTGGTGCAAAATTGGAAGAATTATATTTAAAACTCAAATTAAAATATTAAAATAATAACAAAATGTGAATAATTAAGGCAAAATCTAACATGAATCTCTAAAAAAAATGTACTAATTTCTTTATAAATACATTATTGTTGCTTCATTCCACATAACACACCATTGTCATGGGTGTGATGTAAAGTAATTATAAAGTTGAAACTTAAATGCCAAAATTTTAAAAGTTATAAAGAAAATATATTTGCGATGCCAGTAAGTTTTTATATATTTTTAAATGTCAATTTCAAATCAAAACATATTTAGTTAAAATGAAGTTAACTTAATTTTTAACTTAATATTGAAACATTTTTAATTCAATTCTTAATCCTAAGAAAGGTAGTTTTAATTTTTTTATTTTTAATTATAAAAGTAAATCCTTTATTTTATGTTTTTCCTTTTAAAAGAATAATATATATATATATATTATTGTCTCTATCATCCCAAGACTATGATTAATACCATTGCTTCTGTTACTACGTACTATATTTTTTTCATTATTGTCTTAGTAGCTGCCCCTAATCATCCTTTTTGTCGCTGCAACTACCATCATGTTAATTCTACGTACCAATGCCTCAAATATAACGCTAAATGACTCTGAATAAGGAAACAGTGAGTGATTTTTATGGTTTGAATTTAAATTTGGCATTAATTAAAATTTGAAAACACAATGTGTTAAAAAAAAGGTTATATGATGGAAGGCTAATTTTAATTTTTAAAATTTGAAAATAAAAATTGACAATCACTCCAAGCAAAAAAACAAACACTATGTTAAACATTTTGAAATTACAAGAATTAACTAAAAACTTCATCAAAATACAATTAATTAAGGATCAAGTTACTAATATAATCATTTGTTATTATATCAAAACAGAGAGGCATGAAAGGTGGTAAAATATTTAATTAATTTCTAAGATCACATTATTATAAGAAATATTATATATAGTGATATACAAAAAATAAATATAATATGTTTGTAAATCTATTAGACATATATTTACAAATAATTTTAGTGTTTATTTTGAATTAGATTAAACATATATTATGTTTTACCATAATTTATATCTTCACTTTTTTTAACAATTATGAAAATATAATTATTTGTAATAGTAATTTTTAGTAATAAGTATTGTATCATATTAAGGTTACTATAGAATTTTTTTTTTTGTAATGTATTAATTTTAATGTGCATTCATGGGGAACTTCGAGAATCTACTCCTGTATATATAGCTATCTAGTGAATGAAATTAATTCCATAAACTATATCCCACTGATTCATTGTTAAAAAAACAATTGCAAAATTATGAAACGGAAAGCTAGCAAAAACTTGTGGTTAATAAATAAGCAAACGCAATTGTTTTTCCACAAGCAACAAAATGTTACCCAAGCTTGTTAGGAAAGTATTACAACCAATGGTTGGTTTGATTTATTGGACTGATCACATAGAGAAGTTGGTGGCTTACACTTCAACTGCTACCATGTCCTTATTTTTTCAAGTCTTGTCTTTCATTAATTTTAATCGCGACTCGTAGCAAACCCTTTGACTAGTTTCCCTCTCTAATGATATTCACCCAACATTTACACCCATTATTGTGTGTCTCATTCATTCCACTTAATTATATTGAGCCGTTTATTCTGTTGGAGGTTAAGCCTAATTAGAAAAACACATGCATGCAAGGAAAAGGAATGTTCGTGAGCACCCTCACTGTATTATGTTGATTAAAAAAATGAATGGTAGTGGTTGGTAAAGTTAGCAACTAATTAACTTTTTCTTGTAGTAATGTGCAAACGCGTGTAACGTTGCATTGCTATATAATGAGCTCCGATTCAATTCTTTTCTAATATGAAATTTGGATCGTACGTAATTAAGTTTGGATGATGGCATTCCGAGTTGGTGTTAGGCGTTGGATCTTAACTTTTGCTCTCCTTTACGTTTGTATATTCGGGAAAAACTTTGGTATGTTATCAACCACACTAGATGAAACTTTTTTTTTATAATTTTTTTTTTGTGTGTGTGTAACGCATTAAGATATAATTTGTCAGGAAATGCTGATGAGGATGAGTCGGAGGGCCAGACAGGTGGTGGTGGGTTCGGTGGTGTGGGGGCTGGTATAGGTGGTGCTGGGGGCGGAGTTGGTGGTGGTGTTGGGACCGGAGCTGGCGGTGGTGGGTTTGGAGCTGGCGGTGGTGGGCTTGGAGCTGGTGGTGGTATTGGTGGGTTTGGAGCCGGTGGTAGTGGTGCCGGTGGTGGTGGTGGTGGTGGTGGTGGTGGGGTTGGTGACCCTTCTCAAATTTTCTCCAAAGCCTTGCTCTGTTTTAATGATAAAAATGTGAGTGCCATTTCTACAATCTGATTTTTATGATTACCTTTTAAGGGAGAAATTAATAAGTGGTATTAAGAGAAAATTAAAAACTTTAACATAATGTTACATAAAAATTAGTTTAAATTAGATATAGTGTAGAACTATCTAATAATTTATGTTTATTATAAAAGTAAAGCAATATATTGATATTTTGGATTACGACTCTTTAAATCAAGTCCAAGCTATATATCAAACTCTAATTTTTAATTATGAAAAATAATTGTTGAAAAACTTGTTTTAACTTTGGTTACAGTTTTTTTTTTTAACTTTAACTTTATACTTGTTTTATGTCTTTTTACCACTTTTTTTTATTGCATTGATTACTTTTTATTTCTTCACTTATACGTTAATAGAGAATTAGAAGTATATTATTTTTTCCATACAAAAATACCAATAATATTTATTGAAAATTTTCATATTCAATCTCTATCGTGTGTGAAAATCTTTTAGATTAGTAACGGTCAAAATATAAAAAACAAGATTAATTTTAAACTCGATAAATCAACGGATACCCGTAAGAGAACACAAAAAATAATTAAAATTTAGTCAAATTATAGTTTATCTCCCCTTAACATTGGTCGAAAGATAGGCCTTATACAAGTGGCAAAGTGTGGATATCTATTTCTTTAGAGTATACACTACCTCATGCATGTGTAACGTGATCCTTGTGAGTGCATGCAAATGATGCAATGCAAGGCACAGCTGCTACTATATACAACGTGCAATTTGAAACATTTAACGCACCAATTTGAGTTTCTTAATTTCTTCTACCTTTTTTACATAATGTTGTCATACATGTATATATCGAAGACACAGATTAAAAATATTTGTGATAGTGTTTGGTATTTTGGTTTGGTTTCAGATTTATCGGAGCTGTGAAGAGTCGTGTAGATTGAGCGAGAATGGGAACCTGAATGTGCCTGCAGAGAAAACTGATATATTCTGCCAAGGGCCATGTCTGTCGGAGACAAACTTGGTTCTGAGTTGCCTGGATAACGTTTTCAGCAACTTCGTATTTTACAACAAGGCAACCATACAAGACATCAGGAAAACAATTGAAGCTGGATGTGGCTATGGCCCTCAAAGAGGTTTCGTATTTTACTTTATTTTAACTTGATGGAATTTAGTCCATGTAAAATTTTGGATTGTGATAAATGGGGGGTTGAAACGATGCAGGAGACTTCAATGTGGCTGAGCACATTCAGGCTGACGAAAGCAAAGCTTCAAAGGCTAATAGACATAATGTTGCAATGGGACTTGCTACCATCGCCATCGGACGCGCTCTATTGCCTCTCTTTTTCACATAATATTGCGTTTATGTGAATCACAATTACTACTCATGCTTACCACTTACTCATATAAGGGAAATATTTTAGGTTATGTCATGTACTTGTATTATATATATGTGTGTGGAACACGTTTGTGATATATAAACCTTTTAAGTATAGGAAATAAATTTTAACCCATATATGAGGGAAGTTATAATTACACCAGTGTAAGTTTTACTAAGTATTACACCACTCAATAACTTTATATTAAATGTAAATTTTGTAAATTCAACCGTTAGATTAAAAGTTTATATCACTTTATACGTGTATATCAAATTTTGTCAAAATTGAACAACAACTTAAAGGCAATCAAAATGTTCATATTTTAGTGTATTTTGAAATGAATATATTACGTCAATTTTGTTTTATAAAAATGAAGTATCAAATCATCTTGCATTAATATAAAATTTTGTATATATGATCTAAAATATATGAACTTTCAATCTAACGGTTGGATTTACAAAATTCACATTTAATATAAATTTATTAAGCGGTGTAATACTTAGTAAAAGTTATACCGGTGCAATTATAACCTCTCATATATATATATATATATATATAAATTTTGATACTGCTTTTGTTTTCTTTTCCTTTTGTGGGGAGGAGGGCTTTCATATTTAATATTTAGAAAAATTGCGTGAAATTTTCTTAAGGTATGTTTAAATGAGTGATATGTTTCTTTTAGTTTTTAATTGAACTTTAATCTTTCTTATTTATTTATTTAAGTGATACATACACTCTCTTATATAAGATAATATTATTTATCCATTATTAATAAAAAATAAGTTATTAATAATGCAAGTGTCAACAACTGAATGAGATTTGATCATTTACTCAATTTTAACTCTCAAATTATATTTTAAATATCATACAAGTTGTGATTTATAAAATATATCAATTTCAAGAAATAATTTTAAAAAATGTGTTAAAAAATTATTGTTTTCAAAATTGATGAAAGTGAAAATTTTTATTAAAAAAAAACATAGCATTGTACATTATTTAAAAACATGATAGATGCGTATATTGACAGAATATGAGTCAATTTTTATTTATTTTTTCTTTTTTTACTTTAACTAATAATATTATTCTAAAAAAGATGAGTAATTTTTAAAAATAAAGGAGAGTTGAATATCATTTAAACAAACCATTAGTGCAATTTCCCTTAATAGTTTGATGCTGCTCGATGGATGATTTGTATTTCTCTTGGCCCATGATGGGTATATAAATTGAGCCATTTGGACAAAACTCTTTAGCTTCATGATGTATTCACTTTTTTTCAAAAAAAAAACCACAATACACCTCTTTTATTTTTTTTTTAAAATCCTAAAATATCCATATTTTTTATTCTTTAATTTCTTAATGTTACACCTCCAACTTTCAATTTACTACTTTCTTCTTCTTTTTCACACACCTCTTTTCTTCTCTTTATCGGTTTTCACATGCATCATCTTGTCTTCCTCCAATTTCTCACATATTGCATTAAACATTCTCTCGATTTTTACATTAATCTTTTCTCCCTTCACCTCTTTCACTTTTGCACATGTACCCAAACTGTAGAATTGATACATGACAACATTGTAGGTATGTGTGGTTTCCTCGACAGTTTCTACTAAACTAGATACACATTTTTTTCTTCTAACTTCCTCCTCTCCTTTAACTTCTTCAAAAACTTTAACTTTAAATTTAGTGTTATGAAAAAGATATTTTGGAACATTAATTTCACTATTCTAGAGTACTTTTCTGTAGTGTTCTAAAAATAGTGTTCAGAGTGTGTTTTTACATACTTCCAGAAAAATACTTTTTGAAATTACGTAAAATAATACTTACAGAAAGTACTTTCCAAAATAGTAAAGTTAATGCTTTGGAAAGTACTTTTCATAATAGTAAAATTAATGTTCTAAAAAGTATTTTCTAAAAGTATTTTTTTACATAATTCTGGATAGTACTTTCTAGAATACTAAATTTACTGTTCCAAAAAAGTACTTTCCAAAAGTATAATCCAATTTTGGAAAATGTTTTTAGTGACTAATTTTACTATTTCAAAAAGTACTTTCTAAAACACTAAAATTATTTGATGTTGTATTTTTTAGATGTGTAAATGGGGGAATTGTTTGAATAAAAAAATGCACATTTGAATTAGCACTTTCAATATTGTCAAAAAAGTCACACGCGCCTATAATGTTGTCGAAAACTAATTATACACTCCTGATGCATGTGAAAATTAAAAGAGGAGAGAAAAAAGATAATAATGAGAAAATTGATAGAGGAGGGGAGAAAGAATAATGTAAAACTAAAAGAATTGAGACTACTTACTAAAATAGGTGGAGGTGGAGGAAATGTAACAAAATGCATGTGAAAACTGAAAAAAAGAGGGAAGGAGATCTGTAAAAAAGAAGAAAAAAATACTAAATTGAATATTAAAAATGTAAAATTAAAAATTATAAAATTAAGAATATTTAAAAAAAATTAAAAAGAAAAAAGAGGTGTACTTATAAATAAATAAATAAAAAGTGTATATATATATATATATAAAATACAAATAAAATAAAAATGCGAACTCTTTATTAGATTGGGCTTAATCAGAATATAACAAATGTACCCAAATACCCAACCAAGAAGACAAGTCTTCATAAATGTAAACACCCAAAACAAAGGTAGCTGGTTATTCTTGCATGAGAGATTTAAAAATGTTAAATGGGGGCATTCCGAGAATCGAACTCGGGACCTCTCGCACCCAAAGCGAGAATCATACCACTAGACCAAATGCCCACTATTGATAAAGTGAATATTGTATAGTAATTCGTTTTTGAACATAAGTCCAACTTTCCGTTTGAGACGCACTTGAGATCAAATTTTTTTTCTAAGATGCCTTATTACAAAACTTATGATTTACATTAATTTGAGTGCACATTTCAATTATTTTTGACGATTTAAAATTAATTTTATCAATATAAATTCTACTCAAATTTAAAATAAATACACATGATATATAGCTGTGCAAAATGCAAATTGATTCAGTAGCAAGGCAAAAGCATATCCAAATTTGATTATTGAAGTTAACTTTCATTCAATTTTTAAAAAGAAAATTATCGTCTTTAGTTAAAATATCCCAAATTAAGTTAAATAAAACCCACACTACTAAACTAAAATTAGAGTATTTAAATTTTCTTTTACCCTACCACGAATACCTCCTCCATCCACACGCCAAAGATAAGTTGAGATTAGTTGAACCCAAGAAACCAAGCATGCACAAAGTCGAATTCACCACACAATTGTGCCTAATTTCAAAGAGGTACTACGCTGTATAAAGCAACTGAAGGTGGTATCCATATATGTCAAGTGAAAAGCAGCAGCCTCTATCACAAAAAGTTATAGTTATAGACTTGATCATGCTATTTCTATGAATCAATAAGACAATACACAATAGCAAACAGCCGCAAAATCAATCATTAAGGTGTTTTACATTTGCAAGATTTCAGTGACAACATCATCAACCAAAGAATTAAAAATTTGGTCCACAACCTCTGATCCGAGTTCAAAAGCATCAATCTCATAATCTAGCCATCTTCCATACTGGCTGCTCATGTCCTTGTCCACAAGCTCATCAACCATTGAATCTCCCATTCCACTCCAACCTGTGATCTCCTTGTACACATCTTCTGCCAACCATTCTTTTCTTTTCACCATTTCAAACCCTTTGCTCCACATTCTGTATCCTCCCCCTACATAACGCCTGCATCTCAAGTCCAAGCATTCACTCACACAATCAAATGTAACTTTCCTTCTCATCATAGACTCGTCGTCGCACTTAAACCCTCCCTTGCGGCCTTCCAACTGGTTGAATAGATGAGAGTTCATAACCTCGCTAGCTTGTCCAAGGGAAAAGTCAATATACATCAACTCAACATTACACAATATGTCTTTCACATAGTCCAACTCCCATGTTTTGGAGCCTCCAAACCTTGTGACAGAAAATGTACTTGTGTGCTTCTTCTTCACTATGTTCCCAGCTGATGTTGAAGAAGCTGAATCAGATAACTCTGCATCAGATTCACAAGGATAGAACTTCCTTGAAAAATTCAAGCTATGAACTTCTTGAGTTTGAACAGACGAGCACAGCTTACTTCCTGAAAGTAGATATATATTAGCACTCCTGGGTAATGAAATAAGTAATTCCAAAATAGGTAATTAAATGCCCATATTTAAGCACAAAACTACCTTCTGTACTAGTAACATCCGTACTGAATGAAGATTCACAGCTTTCAATTGAAAAAGAAGGCTCGAGAACAGAGATTGGACTTGGGTGGCGGCAATTGAGTAACTGTGGTTCCATCTCATCAATCTGTAAACAACTTTGAGTTAATCACCTACTCGATATGGCAGAAAATCATAAGAATATGCCCATAAGTTGGTATATGGGTGGTTGATTATTGAATACAATGGAATTATTACTAGTTACAGCCTGTAATTTTAATCACATTTTATTTTAACAACCCAAACTTGATTTTACATTAACAGCATAATAAGAGTCGTTTATCACATGATTTAACCAATTATCACAATCGACTAATATGGACTTAGACATGGTTCACTAAGCTCAAATCTGAAATAAATACAGGCAAAAAGTGCTGTTTATATCTTCAAACCAGCTGCAACATAAGACTACAGAGAAATAGTAGAACAGGTAAGTGCCTGAGATCACTCTAACCCACAAATGAATTCTTCCAAGCACCAAAGATGATAAAACCAAGGCCAAAGTTAGATGCATTAAATAGTCTAAGAATTTGACTGATCATTTTACTTAATTCAGAAAACTGCATTTCTCTAGGAAAAACTAAGTTAATTGCAGGCAATTTACTTGAATCTTTTGAAGTATACTAACTAGTAACTATGAAGTGAAATGCCCATTTGTGGTAACGAAACAAATGTTAAAGAAAAAAGAAAAAAAGCAGCACCAAAGAATAATAAAATCAGTTTTTTAGTAACTAGGTAGAAATTAACACAAATCAAAACTATGTTTACCTGTAATTATTTACTTTTTACAAAAAAATAATTCCATAGGGAAACAGACGATGAATCTGTTTTTTTTTTATTTTTTTATTTATACGGATGATTTTTTTAACAAGAAACAGAAAAGCTTAACATCTATTGGTTAGGCCATTTAACAAGTGACCCTATACAGTTCTGACTGACATGCTTAAATGATAAATACAAAAAAAAAAAGGGCAAAGGAATTAAAGGATTGTTACATACCCATGAGTTATGCTTCAATGATAATTCAAGAGGACCGGCAGAGGAGATGTCTGAATCATAGTTGCTGCTTAACACATCTTGGTCTTTTTTCTGTTGCAACTTTAGGTCGAGGTTAACCATATTAAGGCCGGTTACTTGATCAACTGACATTGGTGCACTAGTGGCAGGGTGCCTCATTTTAGAAGAGTCATGACAAGTGGTTTCCATACATGTTAATTCCCTCAACTTCTGTTCCAATAAGATACCTAAGGCATCACCACCAATCACATTGTATCCAACTGGAGATCTTGTGTTTTCTGGATCAAGCAACACTCGTTTAATGCGTTGATCCAAGGAAAGACCATTATTATTCTGGCCAGCTTGTCCAGGTGTCTCAAAACCTGGATTGCTCCTTGTTAATGGAGTGGTAAATGTAAATGAAACTACATCCATGTCTTTCTTTTTAACTTCTTCGCCCCAACTATGTTGTTTATTACTCACAAGGTTAGACTTAACAGGCTTCTGAGTTTTTTCAATGAACAAATTGTCCACAACCCTATCATTCCAGTCCTTGTCAGTAGATCTTTTCTTTCTAGGAAAATTGTTTGTGCTGGTATACAAAACTTCCTTTTCACTATCTGTCACCTCCATTGATGACTTTCTGGAACCAACTTTAGATTTTGCAACAGATTTATTACTAGAGCTTCTATGGCGTCCATAAGGGGAATCTGCAGTGGAAACTTTCCTAATGTGTGAATTGGTAACCAATGGCTTTGATGGTACTTTGTCTTTGTCAATTGAATAATTCTGTTTCAGATTATTCTGTCTGAGCGCACCAGATGAATTCTGACCAGAAGATTTCTTATGCAAATTCTTCTGAACATTATTTGCCTTCATTGGTTGATTGGATTTAACATCTGAATGCTCTTTATGGCCCATTGAACTTCTGCCACCAGTCAAACTCAAACCTTCCCTTCTTTGAACATTCACTTTCGCTTGAATTGCAAGTGAAATGGACTTCCCCTTATTCTTCATAGAAGAAGTTTCTTCCTCATGTGTAGGAGATTTGATGGATGTATCCGCAGAGCCATTCCAGCTTCTGTTCAAAGACTGTCCTTTTAGATACTTGGCAGCATTTGATTCGGCTGATCTTTGAGAAGATTCTAAAAGCCTAGTAGTTCTTTGAGAAAATTCTCTTTTCTCTTTCAGATCTCGAGTTCTAGAGGTCATGGAGGATGGTCCAATTAAAGGTCCTTTTTGTGAAGCCTCCACCTTATCCTTAAGATCTCTAACTCTCAATGGTGTTGATGATGAAACTAGAGGTGTCTTAGCCTTGGTACTGGCTTGGGATCCAGGCTCAATAATTCTTGCTGCAGCCTCCATTATATAAGCAGCATTATTGGTAGGAACAAAGCCAGGACCCTTAATGGGGGACAAAAGTTTATGGTGTGTAACAGGAATTGATTTAGCTGATTTTGGAGGCAATACTTCTGTTTGGAACTTTTCAATTGGCCTGGTAAGGGCCTTTTGCGGCTTTGGCTCCATGAAGTTCCTAGAAGAGCCCTCAGCCTTTTCAACCATGAAATTCCTAGAAGATCCCTCAACCTTTTCAACCAGCTTTCCAGAATATGGGGTCTGATGGTCATGCTGGTTGTTCTTGAAGTACTGAGCGTCTTGAAGGGATCGGGTATCAAAATATGGGGTAGAATAAGGATCAGAAAAACTGGAAGGAGGCAAGGAATCTAATCCCATAAGCCTGGCAACAACACCAGGGGCCCTTGTTCCACATGCTTCATCATCTGTTACAGAAGAAGCATAACTATGATCACAACTTCCTCTAACACTTGCTCCTACTCCATTTTCATCTTCATCAACCTAAAAGAATTAAACAAGTAACTATCAAATTTTATAACAACATATTTAAATAGATAGCAGGAGATAGTGATATTGCTACCAGATAGGAGGACTGTGACAATGCCATACTGTAATCGACTTTTTTTCCATGTTTTAAATGCTCTGCAAGTGATTTAGACAAAAATTACCAACAGCAAAACACCAAATGACTAGAAACTTTTGGTATCAGTAATGCAAAACAATAGACAAGAGATATAAAAAAATGCTATTGTATATTCTATGCATACAGTAAATTTACCTGGCAAGTCTGACTTGGTAGCAAATAATTTCTTACGAGATTTTGAGGTCCAGTCGAACAACTGGAAAAAACCACCAACATAACCTCCTCCACTTTTCGTCCCTTCTTTTTCAACTCCCATTTTTGAAGCAGAATTCAGTAAACCTTCCAGAAGCAATTATAACAAAGCCTTATCCCACTAGGTGAGGTTGGGTACATGAATTACACGATGTCATTCAGCTCAATTAAAGACAGAAAACCTTCAAGACACATCAGGAAAAAACTGCTAGTCAAATAAAAATTATACAAAGATTGCACAAGGTAACTCATTATAATCTGAGGGAAAAAGGTGTATATTATTCATATCGGAACATTAATACGGAACAGAATAATACACCACATGGTTTTAAATTACGGCCTGTACCGCAATTGCGGCCACCCACAATGTAAAGGTTTTTTTGACTCAATGACTCCCCTTGACAGCAATTGTGACGAAACTACAACCACAATTAGAAACATGATTCACCATTAATTAACTGATGCAATCTAAACCAAAACACTTCAAACAAACACACACCAAAATTGCAATAGTATGATTCTCTGTATCTCTAGATCTCCATTGGAAGAAAGCAATCAGATACTAGTATACAAACCCTAATCCACTTCATAGTTGATATTTGCTTACCTTCAAATCTCCTTTGACTGAACCAACCAGACAATCAAGAGTCAAATCTACCAAACAAATAAAATTCTCACAACTTTCCTGATGTTATTAAACTTTAGAAGTTTAAAATAGCCAGGTTCATAAATGAATCAAGTACAAAATTCTAAAGATCCATAGTAAAAATTTTAGCTGGGATCAAATGTGTATATGGTAATCCTAATGTAAATGGGTGAGGGGGGTTGGGACTATTTGATAAAATGAAGGTTTTGTAGATCTTGAGTAATTTTAGAAAAGCCCAAGCCTTATACAGTGTATTCATGGATTCAAATGTAAATAGAGGCATGTACAAACTGTGCTTATACACAGGCATTACTTCTCGCCCAAATGAATCTGATTCAAACTCGTTTCCCATCTATGAAATGATTCTCATCAGCCAAACAACGAATAACACCAAATTCAGGCTATTCAAAACATAAGAACTTAAACTGAATCCAAACACTAAAAATAACGTACACGATGACAATAAGAGTACCAATAGGGGCGAAAATAAAGTGGCCAAACTCAAACGCAAATCTGAAAGGAAGAAGCCAATGTCAAAAACCCATTAAAGGAAATGAAGAAAAGATGCAAACTTTGGCGTTGGAGGGAGGACTTACGTTGAAACAATGAGTTGGGTCAGCTAAGAATTTGAGTGAAGTGAAAGGGAAGAAGCAAGCACCCACCGCAAGAGCTTTTTTTTTTTTTTTTCCACGGTGAAAGACCAAGGCTATGCTATGGATAATCAAATCACAGAGAAGTTGAAGCAAAATGGGAAAAATTTCGGGACTGAGAGAGAAGGGTACGGAGTGAAGGAATAGAGAGAGAAAGACACAGTTTGAAGTGCTAATAAATGGAGACATAGAAAGAGAATTTTCGTTGCATGAAGAAGTAATTGAAAAAGTTTGCATTAAAATTTAAAAAATTCTTAATTTGAAATTTTGTTTGTATTATAAAAATGGGGTGAGTTTATAACGTCTCTCTCGAGAGGGATGGGATTTCAAATTCAGAACGGGGAAAAAGGTGGTCCAAGGAGCTTGATAACGTCACTGGACCCATCTATTCCGAGGAGTGGTTCACCAATTCTTGGATGACACGTGTATCATTGTCCTCTTTCAATGCGCCTTTCAAAATATAAGTTCACAACCAGAGTCCATATGGTAAGCAACAATGGTTCACAAAATAATAAATGAAAAAAATACATCCTAATCTATATAGAATTATAGATGACCTTAGGTGATCCACAATGAATTCGAATGAACTATTTTTATCTAAAATTTTAATATAATTATTTATTTTAATTTGAATTTATTCTTATTAACACGTGATAATATTATGTCAAATTGGTTTGTTGATATAATACATCTATTTAAACATATAAACATAGTTAAATTGTAACATTAAAGTATAAATTACCATTAAATATATTTACAATATTTACTAGTCTAATGACTTGTGTTATACACGAATATTAAGTTCATAATTTTGTATAAAAAAATTATATTATTATGATTTTTAGTATAATTTTTTACTTTATAATTATATATATATATATATAAAGGTGGGAAACAAGTTACTTGAATAGTAATTCTGAATAAAATTACTTCACTCAAGTAATACGTACATGTTGAATTTTAATGTGATGAAGTATATTCATGTAACGAAATATTAAATAGCTTTCAATTTTTTTAAAGATTTGTAAACTTGATTTATTTAATAAAAAATTCTTTTAATTTAATAGTTGGATCATTGAAATTTAACATATATTTGAGTTATTGAGTGAAGTAATTTTACCGAGTTACTCTTAGGAAGTTTTTGGTGGAGAGAAGTTTTTTCATATCCAATATCATGATTGTTAGGAATTACAAATCCTGAAAATCATGATTCTTGAAAATAACTAAAATATGTTTGGTTATTTATAAAAGTTTCTAGAAACGTTCATATATGATTCTTGAAAATTATAAAATTTTATGTTAGGTTACAATGGTATATTTTTGGATTTATAATTATTTTTTACAAAAATATTATTATTAAAATAAACTCAGTATATATATTTATTTACTTAAATCTTATTAAAAATATGATGTTAAACTATTTTAAAAAGTTGAAAACTAATTAAAATTATTTAAATATAGAATTCGACAAAAAAAAAGGATTATAAGAAGAATAAGAATATATTATTTTATTTCATTCAAATAAAAATAAATAAATAAGTGTTAATAAATATCATTAAAACATAGAAACAAAAAAGATTTTAATAATATTATTATTAAAATTAACAAGATCAATAAATAATGAGATACAAGAAAGAAAGAGACAGAGATATGGTAAGGGGAGAGAGAGAAAGGAGGGGAAGAGGGAGAGAGAAGAAGAGAGGAAAAAAGGAAGAGAGGGAGTGAGAGTGAGAGAGATAGAGAGCGAGAAAAAGAAATAGAAGGAGAAAGAGAAAAAAAAAGGGAATGAGAGAAAGAGAAACAGAAGCAAAGCAAAGAGAGAAACTTTTTGTTTTAAAAAGGGGTCATTGTGGTCTTTTTATATACATAAAAAATTTTCTTTAACTTAGGAAAGTTGAATTCCCACCCTCTGTGAGAATTTTTTGTGAGAAAGTGGGATAAAAATGGTCCCAAAAAGCTATATTCCTGGGATATTTTTTTAAATAGTTACCAAATATGAGAAACTAAGGGGATGTTTGGTAAGGGAGGGATTTTTTCATATTTAGAAATCATTATTCCCATGATTTGTAATTTCCAATAATCATGATTCTTGGGAATAACTAAAATATGTTTGGTTACTCATAAAGATTCCTATTAATATTCATATAGGATTTTCAAAAATTAAATATTTTCATGTTTGGTTACACTACTATATTCTTGGGAATATTAATATTTTTTACAAAAATATCCTTTATTAAAATAAACTTATTAGATATATTTATTTACTCAAATCTTATTACAAATATGATATTAACCTATTTTTAAAAAGTTAAAAAACATATATTTCATTTCATTCAAATAAATAAATTAAAAGGTTTTAACACATACCATTAAACTATAGAAAAATGACAAACTTTAAAAGTATTATTAAAATTGATAAGGTCGATAAATAATAAAATACAAGAAAGAGAGAGAAATAAAGATATGAGAAGGAGAAAGAGAGAGAGAAATTGGGAGTGAGAGTGAGAGAGAGGGAGTGACATTGAAAGAGACAATGAGAGAGAGTGGGAGAAAGAGAGGTAAAAGGAGAAAGCGAGAGAGAGAGAGATAGAGAGTGACATTGAAAGAGACAAGGAGAGAGGGGGGAGAAAAGAGAGATAGAATGAGAAAGGGAGGGAGAGAGATGGAAAGGGAGAAAGAAAGAAAGGGGAGTGAGAGAGGGATAAAGAGAAATAGAAGGGGGGAGAGAGAGGGAGGGAGAGGGAGAGGGGAAGAGGGGGGTGAGATAGATAGAGAGAGAGAGAGAGAGAAAGGTATATTTTTTGTTTTAAAAAAAGATACTGTGGTCTTTTTATATGCATTCAAATTTTCTCTTAACCGAGGAAAGTTGGATTCCCACCTCCCCTCATGAGAATATTTTTGTAGGAAAATAGGGTAAAAATGATTTTTGAGAAACAACGTTCCTGGAATCTTTTTTTTTAAAAATAGCTATCAAATATAGGAAATTAAGATTCTTACTTTAAGATTATCAAAAATGTAAAAATATTTCGCATACCAAATACCCCCTAAGATTCTCGCTTTAAGATTCTTCCAAAAATGTAAAAATATTTTGCGTACCAAACATTTTCTTATATAAAGTTATGAATATTAGTATATATTCAGATAAATTTATATTTCTAAGGATTAAATATGTTTTTAATCTTAAAACTTTTGTCAATTTTTACTTGTTTTCTTGAACAAATTTCATTTGATTTTAGTCTCCAATTTTTTTCTCCATGAATAAAAAATCTTAAAGCCAAAGACCAAAAATGGTAACAAAAAGGAAATTTTAAGGACTATAGGTAAAAAAACTTGAAAAAAAAAATTAAGAATTAAAATCAAATAAAAAAATATGTTTTTAGTGAATTGAGGAAAACATAGAAGAAGAAAAAAACAACTAGAGGAAGAGGGAGCTCACCTGGGTGTGAAGAAAATGTAAACTTCAAAAAGAGAAACATATGCAAAAAGTAAAAGAATGTTAGAAAAGATGGTTGATTCAAAAGGGAGGTGAATTAGATTTTAAAAATTACTCTTAACTTTTTTGGATAAAAACTTATCTAAAGACTTTCTACTTGAACCAATTGATTTTAAACCAAAGTGAAATGGATTGTTAAAAACACTTATTAATGTAAGTCAGATTTTAACTACCTTACATGCAATATCCAAGACATAAGAAACATATTAACAAACATGTAGTCAGATTAATAAGAAAGTAAATTCAAGTTATTAAAGGATAAAATAAGCTTGCACAACAATCTATATTGGTTCAACCACTTTCATTAATGACCTACATCCAATCCCCAAACAATCCAATTGAGTATTTTCATTATTCTTTAATTTAAGAAGTTTTATCATCTCTCCTCATATATATATATATATATATATATGAAGAGGGTTCAAACGACATCGGTGTAACTTTTACTAAGTGTTACACTGCTCAATAATTTTATATTAAATGTGAATTTTGAAAATCTAACCGTTAGATTGAAAGTTCATATCTCTTAGATCATATATATCAAATTTTATATTAATCTAAGATGATTTGATACTTCATTCTCATAAAACAAAATTGACGTAATATATACATTTCAAAATATACTAAAATATGAACACTTTGATTACCTTCAAGTTATTGTTCAATTTTAACAAAATTTGACATATATGATCTAAGAGATATGAACTTTCAATCTAATATATGGTTAGATTTTCAAAATTCACATTTAATATAAAGTTATTAAGCAGTGTAACACTTAGTAAAAGTTACACCGGTGTCGTTTGAACTCTCCTATATATATATATATATATATATATATGTATGTATGTATGTATGTATGTGTGCGTGTGATTTGTACCAAAGAGAGAAAGAGTATGAATATAGAACATTAAGGGTGTCAAACACCTCAACCCAATTCATTACATCCATTACATTGGGTTGAAAGCCTGAACTCAACTCAACCCCATGATAGGTTAGCAGGTTGGGTTGAGTTGACCCACCAACCCATTAAAAAAGATTTCATACAAAGCATTTTTTTTCCATTTTATTTGTCTTAAGATTTTGTCAAATACAATTAAAAAAGAAAAAATATATTACAAAACTAGTAATGATTCAAATGTTAAATGGGAACACATACTCAATAAATTCATTAGTAACATTAAAATAAGTTCAACAATGTTAAAATAACTCCAAAATTTCACAAATAAGTTCATCAACAATAATACAAAAAGGCCACAATACATCTACAAATAAAATGTTTGTAAATTCATAAACACAAGTTTAAGAAGAAAATAGGTGAATCCAACAGGTCAACCAATCTCAACTTGTCCTTTAATTTATTGGGTTAGGGAAGTGTGTAGGTTGAAATGTTCAACCTAAACTAACCTTTTGGGTATATTTTATTGGTTAATTCATTGGGTTGAATTGGTTTTTGACAACTTTAAATGAAATAATTGAGAAAATGTGAAAGGTGAATCTTGCTCCAAAATGTAAAAAGTGAATATATAAAGACAATATATATTTTTTAATGTTTTACAAATCAACTATATCATAAATTAATTATCTAAAACAATCCTTTATATATTAAGCACAAAGCATTATTTTATGCGAAATTATTTTTAAGAACTTTTCTTGGATGAGAAGATATGTAAAAAACTTTTTAGCTAATTTAATTTTTATTTATCATA